GCGAGAGGCCCGCCCGGCCTTTGCGGCTAGTGCTGGGGGTACAAGCCAAAGCGCCATGTGACATGCGTCTTATTGATGCACGAGCAGGCGCCGGCCACAGCAGCAGAGGATCTACGGTACAGCAGATATGGCGCGGAAGCAGCCTCGATCGCAAATCGTCCAAAATATAATAGTCATCAGAGCAGTCGATCGCCGCGGGGAAAATGTGGGCGAGAGAGGCGGACGGATGAGCATGATGCAAGCACAACGTCTTGTTCTTTGGAATGGACGTTCCTTCAAGCACCTTGTCTGCGACTGCATGGATGGCTGCGATGTTGGCTGCACGCAAGTCGCGCGGCTGTGATCGAGTCTTGCTGGGCTGCTGCTGCCTGCAAAAAAGCTGCATACGCGCTGCACGGTCCAAAACTCGACTTGACCAGTGTAGCGGGCCCGTGGATGCATGCGGCGCCCACAGCATGTTGCTCGTTGCACGCTCGCAAGTATGTGCAGCATCATGCATGCAGAGGCTCTCAGCAAGCAGCGAACTGACTGGCTTAGCTGTGCAGAAAGAAGCTCCAACCTTGTATCATAACTGCTTGGATGGTCCCGCCTTCAGGAGCTCAATGTGAATGGTCGTGACTAGAGTGTTAAGTCCAAGGCTCAATCGGGTCTGCAGCAATCCTCTAGCTGAATGGTGATTTCCCTGTGCACGGCGCTCATGCAGCGATGGACACGCTCCCAGGTGGAGCTCACTCTGATCCATTCACACATTCAGATTCTCGTTACACAACCACGATTCCCGTGCACCCACTCGCTTTGAGTGTGCATCGCCCCTCCTGACCTCAACGGCTCCGAGTGCACTCGCGCGGCGCCAAGACCGTTCGGCGATCCTCCACTCGACCCGCCGACCGTCATCCGAAAACCACTGACAACTGGAATTTCCACCGCGGTGTCCGCTTTCCTGGCTGCAAACTTGTACCGCTCTTTGACAGACGCCGAACGTCAGGTCAGCGCGGGCCTCATCAAAGCGGACACTTACATATATCTCCACACTCACAGATTCGCCAAACCATTCTGCCACTCGTGCCAGCTACGAAGCTGGAATCGGGGTCGACCTGGATCTCGTCAGCCATCTCACTCCAATAACTCCTACACCACCTTCCCCACAACCTGGTATCCAATCGCCTCTCGAGCAAGCTGGGGGGACCAGATTCAACCGCGGTGTGGGCTGCCATTTCTCCGGACTACAACCTTTTACCTGATGGGTGCAAGATAAAGGCGAAATAACGCAAACGCGGTTTTGGAACATGGCGGCAGCGGTCGACGACCGCACGGCCAAGGCCAAAGCTGCAGCTGAGCGGCGTCAAAGCTCTCAGGAAGCCATGCGCGCACAGATCCGAGCGGCACGTCAAGCCAAACAGGCGGAGATGGCTCACAACCAAAGCGCCGACCCTTCCACATCGGCAGCGAGCGGAGGAGAAGAGTGGACGTCATCTCTGGCCGGTGCCGTCCCTCGGTCAATGCGGAAACCATCCAACCTGCTCAAAGTACCGATCGAATCGCAGAGCGCTAGCGCGAGCAGGCGCGATAGCCAGGACAGCATCAGGAGCACCGATGCTCGACATCTCACTTGGTACGCGGAGGAGGATGACTACGATTACGAGTCTGGCAGGAGTGAGAAAGGCTTGCCGACGGGAACAGGTAGCGCAAGTGCCGAGGGAGAGGATGACAGCACCATCCACGGTCATGAGCCTCTGCGCACAGCGAGGCCAGGGGACCGGTTTGGTCATACGCCCTCGCCAATCTCGTCGAATGATGGGCGCTCACCCTCTGGCATGTCAGTCGTCACGGGTTCAAACTCCTCCGAGTCTCGTCCCGGCACTGCATACAGCTCTCGTCCGAGGACGTCCGTCAGCAGCAACAGTTCTGGTAAGCGACCCATCAGCGGGGCGAGCTCGATCTTCTCGCCAAGCCAAGCCTCCTCGGCTCTCGACGAAATGGCAGCAGCGCTGCAAGCTCAACGAGCTGCATCGCCAGGACCGTCTAATCGCAAGCGACGCCCTCAACTTGCTCCTCTCGTACCTCCCCCCTCCGTTCCACTTCCCACCTTGCCAGCCGGTGCCTCCAACAGCCGCCCGTCGAGCCTTGCGCGCTCGACCGGTCCCAATGGTTCCTCCACTAGCTTAGCCTCGATGGCATCAGACCGGCACAGGCTCAAATCTCCAACATCACCGTCTTGGAGAGCAGGATCTGAGAGCGGCATTCTCGCTCCTAAAGGCCCACCGCCCAGCGACGCCCTTCCACCCCTTCCACTCGGATTTGCGCCGTCGAAGCACGTTCGAAGAATTTCCGGCGCCTCGTCGCGCTCATCTGCATCCACAGGTGCACGACGCACACCTCTCTCCGAGGGGATGGAGTCCTCACCACGAAACAGCATCTCATCCAACGCGACGCGCTCGCCGCTTGGACAAGTCGATGACGTGGACGAGGTCAGCAGCGATGACGGTCTCTCCGAAGTGTTGCACATGTCCAATGCGGCGATACTGGCAGGCGCTCCGCCAGTACCGTCCCTGCGTGCTCAAGATGGTGCGCTCGCAACATCTGCCTCCCTAGCCGCGCCTAGCGTCGATGAGGAAGAGCGAAGACGACAAAGCTTGATGCGAAAGAGTATCGGAGGGCTCATCGCAGCTGTGGAAGCGGAAACAGAGTCATGGAAGAGCAGTACGTTACAAAACTCCACCGATAGCTCGGATGCGCGCTCTCCATCTTCCTCGACCACAGACTCTCCAGCTCAGAGGAGCAGTCCGAACGCAAGCAGAACACGAAACGGGTCTGGCGCTGCGCACCGACCTCCGACGGAGAGCTCGCCAGCGCCCTCTTCCTCTGGGGTTGCGAGCGTCGGGCTGTTCTCCGGCCTGAGGACCGCCATGCCGCTGTTTGGAAGGGGTAACGTAGCGCAAAAGGCAGCATCAGTAAACACGGCTGCTTCTACGCCGCCCACACCGCCGGCAATTTCGGTAGACGAAGCGGACAGTCTTTCTGAAAGCGATTCCTCCGACGCTGACGCACCGCGAAAGCGGCGCAAGCAACGCCGGCCTAAGAATGCGAGCAGATGGGGCTTTGAGGAACAGCGTGTTGCACCTCCCACTCTGTCCAGCAATTCTGAAAGTAGCGCATCGAGCAAACAGCAAGATGCGGCCCAGTGGGCTTACTACCAATTCTCACCTGACTTGCCGCCTTTCATGCCAGCTGGTCTCAAGCCGTCCGACATGACAGGCATGGGAACTTGGAGAGGCATCGCTGCTCGTGCCGGCGCCATGGCCAATGCATCCGCCTCACCCTCGGTACGCGGCTCCACAGCAAGCTTCGGCTCTCTGATGTCGTTGCAAAGCCAAGTCGAAGGCGAGCAGCCGCAATCGAGCGGACCTGTGTCTATGCGCGAGTTGGCAGCGCAGGCGCGTCGGAAGATGGAGGTGGCTCAGCAAGCAAGGGAAAGGCAAGCGAGCTTGTTGGCCCAACGTAGCTTCATGCCGATCGACATTCACGCCATGGCATCTGACCATGCGATGAGCGAAGCAGCAAGCATGAAGGGTTCCTCTGCGTCGTCCATATTCTCATTCGACTCTTCTCTGCTCCCGCCCGATGCGGACAGGATGAGTGTAGCTTCCACGTCGACTGCTGGTATCGCGAGCCCCCGCGAGAGGGTCGACTCGAGTGTGAGCACTGAGACGCGGGCCAGCACTGGGACTTTGGTGGGCCTGGGCATACAAGCGCACGCGTCAGCCCAAGCAGACGCGTCAGCTCAAGCGGTTCAGCAAGCACCGGCCAAGAAGTACGTCGACATGTGCATGCAAACCTCACCTACCTCGTCACCGGACCCGACTCCGCCAGCTTCGCCGGTCTTTGCGCCCTCCCAACGTAAAGAGATGGGCGTCGGTGAGGAGCCGAAAGAGTCGCGTCGCACGGTCAGCGTGGTCGGCGTCGAATCGATCACGCCACAGAGGCGGGCGCAGTTGGTGTGGTCAGATGATGAGAACGCCGCAGCGGGTGGGGAGGTCCGTGCAACCACGCCTACTCAACGCAGACCGCTGACAAATATTCGGCACCCGTCTGACGCTCCCGCACGAGCTGCACCTCGCCTTGCTTCTCGTAGCAACATCTCATCGCATCTGGTGGATTTGGACGGCATGTGGCCCCCACGGCTTTCCGCTCCCCGCTTGTCGAGCCGTAGAAGCAATGTCGGAGCTGGTGCGAGCCCTCGCCTATCCAGATCGCCAAGCATGCTGAGCGTCGCTTCGGGCTCATTTTCTGAATCGACGATTGGACCAGAGTCTGATGCGGAGAGTGATGAGTCCGATCTCGATCTTGGAGTCTCCCTCGAGGCTCTGGCAGAGCGCTCCGGAGTGCTCGATGTACCGACAACGCGAGGCGCCAAGAGGAAGCACCACAACAAAGTCCCCACTTTCAGCGAGCATTTGATCTACGGCCAGCGCAAGATTGCACCTGCTCCACGCTCTCGCTTTGCTTCATCGAAAAGCCAAGGACCTGCAGCGAGACCGAACTTCAAGTCTCAAGGCGGGTCGGGACCTCTGTTGCGTCGACCTTCCCGCTTGTCTCAAGCCTCAACGGGCTGGAGTAGTCCAGAATCCGAATCTGAAGATGGCGACAACGAGGAGACCGGGGCGAATTTCATTCCGCCCAAATCTAAGCCTTCAACGCTGCGTCCGGTCGCGCCTCGGGCAAGGCCGTCTGCTCCCGCAACCATTGCCAGCCGAGCGCAAGCGCTCCTTGCCCGTCCACCCATTACGGGAGTGCGCAGGGCAGCTTCAGCCACGACTTTGGGCCAGCCCCGCCACTCGTTTGGTCTTGGACCCAACATGCCTGCGCTTTCCCGCCGAGGAGCCAGTCCGACGCTGGACCTGGGTGGTGGAAGCGACGACGAGTCCTTGCTGCATTCTGAGCTAGATGTGAGTTGTCTTTCTGATCGTCGTGCACGGCGCGCCGTGGCTTGCCGCTGACTTCCGCGTCTTGCACGGATACTTCGCTTCAGGACCTGCCACAGCTCGAGGACGACGATTTTCTGCCCACGCCTAGTCGCGCATCGCGCCTCTCTGCTGCACCGCCTTCCCCTTCACCATCTATCGTTCGAGCTCCGAGACGCATGTCACAGGACGCGCTGCTCCCAACTCTTGGTACGGTGTCGGTCAGCGGCAAAGCGCCGACTTTGTCAACCACGGACGCCGTGAATGATGCTGCTGCTGGGGGCCCAGAGACGGCACTACCAGAAGGTCGAAGGGAGCCGTCGGATTCGGCCAAAGCCGCAGCTCTGGCGACTGAATCCGGTGCGGCACAGGTCGTCTGTACTGAGGCAGCGCCGACTGACGCTGCACAAGCGCCGACCGAAGGTTTCACCGAGACAGAAAGAAGATCTTCAGCTGAGCTTGAGGACACGCCCAACACTCTTGGCTCGGAAATGTGGTCCACCGCAGGAGATCGCCGCAGCGTAGCGACCACAGCTACGACATGGTCTGAGGGCAGTGCTGGGTCCCAAGCAGGCCCAGAATTGGAGCGAGAGGCCGAGAAAGGCGAAAAGTTTGAGAGTGTACATGAGATCAAAGCGGCGAACAACGCTCCTGAACATGCCGAGGCATCAGCGGCCCCAATCTCCACGGGCATCCAGAAGGATGTCAATTTGAGCGATGCCACCGAAGCTGCCGCCTTGTGCGACTCGTCCAAATCTGGACTGCCTCCACTGGCGAAGGCCCGTGTGTCTGGCCTGCGCACACCTGCACGCTCTCGCACGCTGGATGTCGGGACGACTGCCGAATCACTAGCTCCCCAAAGCAAGCTGAAGCTACCGTCTCCTCGACCTACATCTGCTAGCACCATCTCGACCAAAGCGTCTGGCATTCGGCCCCCTTCAAGCATGTCTCGCCTCGGCATTCAGACTCCCGGGGGGCGCAAGTCGACTTCAGACACTCTCAAATCAAGCGATGGGCCCGGTGCGGCCTCTCCAGCTTCTGGTCTTCCTTTGCCTGCAAGTGCAAATCTCCGTCGTATGAAGAGCTTCGGCGACACGCAGACCCAGGGGCTTCAGACACCACCACTCTCAACGCTGCCCATCATGAGCCCTCGCCTCAGCAAGCGGCCATCAGCTTTGCCCCTCTCAAGCCCCCTCAGCGCTGGCCTCGAAAAGCCAATCACGCAATCACCGATTACAGCAGCTTATTCGCCCATTTCAGCGCCAGTCACTCCATCCACTTCTGCGCATAGCCGACCTACCACGCCTGGCAGCAAGGCTTCCGGACTTCCAAAGCGAAGCGGACTTCCCAAGCCCGCTGCTTCTTCATTGACTACCTCGTCTGCGCTGCCTCGCGCCACGGGTATTCCGAAAAGGTCTTAGTCGTATGCAGTGGCTGATGCATCGGCCGCCTCTCTTCCATTCTTTGCTCCAACCACCCTACCAAAGCATCTCGGACTCTTGGGCTTGTACTTTCGCCTCCAATACCCTGCAAATTTCGCGAGGCGGATTGGTCGAGCTCCAGACATGAGACTGTCCTGAGCGCTCGTTTTTCACAACACTGCAATTGCCCCCGCAGTCTCGCGCACCGCTTTCACTTGCTCATTCCCCATTAGCCCCTTTGTATTCGTATCCATACCCTCGATGTTCGCTCTAGCCGCACAGCGCGCCCTTTTGCCATTACTCAACCGATATACAATCAGAATCATGCGCGATTAGCGCGATTACAAAGTCGCTGTGCAAGACTGACCATGCGACGTTTGCGTCGTCGGAGAGAAGCATCGGTCGGGTGCAATAAAGGTGACACGCACCGAACTGAAGCCTGAGTGTTGGTGAGATGATCATCTTGACTTTTGGCATGCATGAATCATTCGTGACTTATCCAACTCTTCTTACGCGGTGGCGACTCGCTTAGTCAGGGCGCGATGTATAATGAGCATCGCACGTGAATGCATGCGCGTGAACTCCGCAAGCTCCCGACCAGCTTCGTTCCGGCAATGGCAGAGAGGCAGGCACAGCCTTCGTGAAAGCAGAACCGAATCGGACATCACATGCCTCCCCAACTCGTCTCTGCATCCCATGTTCGTGATGCACAACGAGCGATCTGGCACACCTCGAGGAAAAAGACGCATTCGATTGAGAAGCGCATGCAGACGGAAAGAAGAAAAGCTTCACGCGCAAGTCGTGATTCCAAATAGTAGTATGAAGAGACGGAAGGGGAGGGTGATGCGTGACGGCATAGGATGGCGCAAATGACGAGCTTGAAGCCGTGTATGGGCTCTCGCAGCTACTGCGCGAACATGTGCATGGCGTGTGTGGTGACGACAGCATACTGGCAAAGTCTTGTGGATGTGCTGCACATCGTGGGCAGGAGCGCTGGCTGTTAGCACAACGTCACTGTGCAATGAAAGATACGAGGCCACTCACCATGTCCGAAATCTTTGCTCGGCGCAGTGTCAACCACTTTTGGTGGACTCGATCTTCTCGAGGAACTGGAGGGGCAGAGGGAGCACAAGGTGCGTCAGTCAATGGCGCAACCTCTCGCGCCTTCTCGGATTCACACACCTTTTGCTTCGGAGGCTTGAGACCGTCACCCTCTATCGTGTCAGCGAGCGACTCTATCCTCTCCTGCGGCAAGCCGGCGGCGTTGACAAGCATGGCAACGAATGTGTACGCTTGAGGAATGTCGACAGCAAGATCATCGAGGAAGGCGACCTGGTCCTTGAGTCCTTCGACGAATGCCTCTTCGGAGATGAGATCCGACGCCGTGGCGGCAATGAATAGCTTGCAAACATCCCGCACGTCATCCTGCTTCTTGTTCAGGATGACTTCGACGATCTTTGCCACAAATTCGCCTCTCCGGCTCGACGGCAGACTCTGCAAGACGAAGGGAAGAGATCCGAGGTGAGCAAGCGAGCAAATGAAGCCATGCGAAGACTACTCACCTCCAGTGCCATCTTGCCTTCGGACACATCGCGCAACTCGATGAATTCCTTGACGTCATTGCTGATCTTGCGCTTGGCCTCCTCGTCGCTGAGTTCTGCTTCGTCTGCCTGAGCTTCATCGGCATCTTTGGTCACAGCCGCATCGTCCGCCTTGCCGTCACCGGGCATGGGCTTGGTCCGAGGTGCCAAGTTGAGTTTCGGCCGTTGAGGTTCGTTGCCCCCTGCTGCGGCGTTCTGTTGCGCGGCAGCGGAGTCGGCCGCATCTGGCTGATTCAACAAGTTGAACATGTTGGCAGAAGAATTCGTGCGCGAAGGCGGGTTGCTGCCATCCTCAGATTTTTGATTCTTGCGCGCAAACACGCTTTGGGGTCCCATGCCCATCGGCCGATTAGAGTCGCTACGTGTGACTTTACCGAACGCGGTAAGATCTCCAGCCTTGCTCTGACGAGGAGCTGCGGGAACCGTGTTCCAACCATCTGGACCTTGGGCGCCTGGTCCGCCAAAGTCGCCGCGAGCTTGGCCTCGCCGTGAGCCGCCGCGCTGGATAGGTCCGCCGCGAGCAGCACGCGCGGCATTTTCGGCCTCGCTCTGTGCCTTTTGCTTTGCTGCATCCTGGTGAATCTCGGCGATCGTCTTGGGCGCAGAGTTGTCGTGCCTGGGCACCCAGCCACCTGCCCTCAACTCGATGACATCTTGAAGCATGAAGGCCATTCTCGAGTTGATCGTCGGCGCTTCTTTCATCTCCCGCATGCGCTGGAAGTAGATATCGATGTGCGCCTCGGCCTTTGCCGTGTCCAGCAGTTTGCCGACCGTAGTCAAAAGCTTGCAAAGACTTTCAATCTCCTCCTCTTCGGGGTCCGTAGTGTTGTGAAGCAGCTTCTTGACGCAAAGATGCATGATGCGCTCTGTAAGCATGGACAGCTTGTAGAGCTCACCAATGAAGCGCACGAGACCGAGACCCCGACGCTTTGCTTTCGCTGCTGCGTAGTACTCGTCCGACAACAGCTCAGCCTCTTTTGGCGCAGCGACCTTCTCGCCCCGCTCTTCGGCCTCTTTGGCATCCGCTTCAGCTGCCTCATTGCTAGCCTTTTTCGCCTTGTCCTCCGCTTCTTTGCCCTTGGCAGCTGCGAGCGTAGCGTCACGCTGTGCCCAGCCTCGCTCAAAGTCCTCTTGACAGCGGTTGATGAGGTACTTGCGGAACAAGTTACCGCCCGTTACAGGCTTGCTGTCTGAGCCCGTCAAGTTCTCGTCCTTGACTTCAGCGCTGACCTCCTCCATTAGCCTTCGACACAGCCGTGCGTACATCTCGGAGAAGGCAGCCTCATCGGTAGCCTTCTCAAAGATAAGAGCAATGACTTGCCTCAATGTCCGACCGTCGGTCTCCTCAGTGGACTTGTTCGCCCAATCGAGAATTTGAGACGAAATGCTATCGAACTTTTCGAGCGTGAGCTTGTTCAGCAAAGCCTTGACTTTACGCGTGACCATTTCCGGAGAGTCGGCCTTGGGCGCAGCAGCACCACGTCCACCTTGCCATCTGTTCTCTGACATGGCCAAAGGTGCGACCTGGTCCATCGGGATCGTCGGTCCGCCTTTCTCCGGCGGGTTGACCTGCGGGCCACGACCAGCGTTGGGGTTTGGTGCCCGCCCTCGGCCTGATTTCGACCTGCCCCCTGCAGGCATGCCGCTGCCCATCATGTCGCGAGAGGGTATAGCATTGCTGCCGCTCGCAGGTCTTGAAAGCGGCTGTGACCTCGCACCAGCGTTGAAAGAGCCCATGGGGCCACCGAAGTTTCCCATTTGACCACGAGCAGAAGACGCTGCGAATCGTTCTTCGCTGGTCTTGGGGTGTGCGAATTGGCCCATACCGCCAGCTGCTCCCTTCCCTCCAAAGTTCGAGCCGCCACCGAGACCCAGACCAACGGAGCCTGCACGGCCAGGCGGTGCAGGAGGGCCCATGCCAGAGGTGCGGCGCCCGCTTGGAGCTCTTGAGCCTTGTGCTTGCGAGGCGTCCATGCCCAGAGCGGAGAGGGGAGGCAAGTCCTGAGGCTTCTCTTTGAAGACGCCCATGAACTGAAGCAAAAAGTCCCTGTCGTACCGGAATTTGCCGGGTTCTGCGGATTCGTTGAGTTCAGGCTTGGGCGAGCTGATTTTGGCTGGGTATGAGACCTTGCTGATGTCCTCAATGAAACGAGCTGAGCCTAATGACTGCAAAGCAGCCGACATGGGTGCATCTACCGAGGCCGCTTTCGTGGCTGTGCTCAGATCGAGTGGCGAAACGCCAGGACGCTTGCGCTTCTCCATCGCTTCGGCATCAAGCTTGACTGGCGTGTTGACGTTGTACGCGCTCATGGGCTTGGCTGGCAAACCGCCAAATCCGGGTGTGCCAGGCGTGCGGGGCGTGTTGGGCACAGCCGGGGTACGAGGAGGCGCATCAAGAGGAGTGGGAGGCATGGAAGAAGCTTCGTTGGCAATGCGTTCAATGTCGGCGACCGAGCGACGCGTAGACAAGGGAGGAGGGACGAGCTTCTTCTCGCTTCCTTCATCACTGCCTTTAGCTTTGCTAAGATCGATGGCCGTCGGGCGCGATGCGACTGGCGACCCCTCGCGAGACTTTTGCGAGTTGTCACCAGAAGCAGCCTCGGCAGCCTTGCTCGCCGCAGCTTGAGCTTCAGCAGCCGCCTTTGCCTCGCGCTCCACTTCAGCTTGGGCTTCGGCTTCCTTGGCCTCGCGCTCCTCGCGCTCTTTGCGCTCGGCAGCAGCCTTCTCTTCGGCCTTCTTAGCTTCTGCCTCTTGCTTGGCCTTGCGCTCGGCAGCAGCCTTCTCTTCAGCCTCCTTAGCTGCAGCCTCAGCTTTGGCCTTCTCTTCAGCCTCGCGCTTGTTCCGCGCCTCTTCCTCGTCAGCCAAGCGTTGCTTCTCTGCTTCCTCCTCGGCCGCCTTCTTAGCTGCCGCAGCCTCCTTCTCCTTTGTCGCTAGCTCTTCAGCAGCAGCAGCCTCTGCCGCCTTCTTGCGCTTAGCCTCCGCTGCCGCAGCCTGCACCTGAGCTTGGAACGCAGCGGTAGTCGTGATCTTACTCTTCGCAGGTGCGCTCGCAGGCGCTGCTGCCGGTGTAGCACTCTTTGTGACGGGTGATCCAACAGAGGTAGTGGGCGTGGAAGGCTGGGGCACACTTGAAGTGGGAGTTTGAGCAGCAGAAGAGGTGCCAGAAGCACCTGGCTGAGGTTTTACATCCACTTCAGCTCGCGTCTCTGGGTTGACGATAGCTATCGCGCTGCTTATCCTCTTTGATGGCTCGAACTGCCTGGCAGACGGGCTCATTGGGTTGCCACCATTGAATGAAGCCGAGGGGGAGTGCGAGTATCCTCCGCTTGGTCCTGAATAACCTTGCGGCCTAGCGCCTGGTGCAGGGCCCATGCCGAGTTGAGAAGGGTGAGGACCCGTCGGTGTAGCAGGGACAGCTCTGTTCGCAGCGGGAGATGCAAGACCCGGTGTGCCTGGCACGCCGTTTGGGGCTCCCATGAGGGAAGCTGGTACGTTGCGAGGCGATCGCGGCATGTCGTAGGGCGTGCCAGGACCTCCCCAGTGCTGGGGGTGTGGCTGGTTCGGGTGCTGTTGTGGGTGGTAGTGAGGCCCTTGATACATCTGAGGGTAGTACATCTGCTGCCCTACTTGTCCAAACTGCTGGTGGCTCGCATGTCCTTGAGCCCAGGGAGGGCTCTGCATGCCGTGCATAGGATGGTGCATAGCCTGCGCTTGTGGCAAGTGAGGTGATCTCGGCTGCTGCCCTCCATGTTGTGCATATTGCTGGGGCTGGAAGGGACTGCCGGGTGGTGCCACGCCCGAGGGTCCGCGCGCACCAGGAGCGCCGACCTGGTGCTGAGGATGTGAAGGAGATCGTTGAGGCTCAAAGCTTCTCGCTCCTGCGTGAGGGCCCTGGGCAGGTGCACGCAGAGCAGATGGTCTGTTCGGGCCGTTCGGAACGGGAGCAGCACCAGCAGGCGGATGTGGCTGCTGAGGAGAGCCGACGCCGACGGGTCCGGTGGCCGTGGATGTCACAGGCGATGCAGAAGCCGCGTTACCGTTGCTGACCGCAGCGGCTCCGCCGGGAGTTGCCGTTGAAGACGAAGCATTGGAGCCATTGCCTTGAAACAGCTTGTTGAAGTCCAATGTCTTCTTGGGTGCTGCAGCGGGAGCCTTCGCGCCAGCACTAGCTTCCTCTGTGGTTGTTGCGATGTTAGCAATGGATGGGGAGGTAGCGGTGCTTGCGTCACCTGCGCTGCCGCCACTACCGGCCTTAAAACCCATAACCTTTTCGCGCGGCTTCGAGTCTGCCACTTCTGCGGCGAGACTTCCAAACTGCGTCGGTTGACTACCTTTGAGGTGTTGTCCCGAAGGTGGTTGAGCAGCAGGGGAGGAAGAGAGAACAGAGTTCTGATCTGCGACTGAACCGAAGTTGATTCCGGCAGCTGGGTGATTAAGCGAGGATGTGCATAGCGGTCAGCTCTCAATGCTCGCTACGATATTCGTTCGAACGTAGAGACAGCAGACCAGGATCTTTCCTGTGGTACACAATGCGAAGGCACCGGAAGCTTGGCACCAAGGTAATGGATCTCGGATGACGCCACTCGACTGTGGCTCAAGGCACGCGCGGCCTTGATGCTCCAAATCACTCACCTGCTCTCAGACCGTTGACGGGTCCTCTTGAAAGGCTGACAGCAGACTCTCGCCGGATGTGCTCTCGAGCGCCGTTGGCAGTGGGCGCGTTGCTGGCTTGGCTGGCTTGGCTTGAAGGGGCAGGGTTCAGATTGCTCGGCATGGATGTATGCGAGCTGGTGGATCCCTGTGTGGTGCGAGTGGCATTGGGTGCGGCTGAGCCAATAGGAGCTGTCGTATTCTGAACAGGTCCCTGTTTGGCCACCTCGGTGGCGCTCCTAGATTGCTCGCTACTTGGTGCTCTGCGAAGTGCCTTGTCACCCGTGAGAGCAGCGGTGTCACCTGACACGGTGCTGTTCGTCCTGCTGTGGCCGTTGCTACCGGTAGCAGGAGATCCAGTGTTAGGTGATGCAGCGGCGACTTTGGCCTTTCCTGCGGCTGCAGCGTAGTTGAATGGAGTGGCCTTGGGTTTGCCAGATCCGTTCACCACGCTGCGATTGGGGTTTGGTTGGTTGGAGGACGTAGAAGGCGCGGCCGTCGACGAGGGCTGGCTCATGCTACGTTTCTCGAATGTGCGTCACCTATGACAGAGTGCACGCAGCTGGAAAAGTGATGTTGAAGAGGTTGTGGAAGCTGTGATCAGCGTCAGAAATGTCCGACTCTAGCTGGTGGGTCATTCACGCCGGACGGCCTCAGGTCAGACCCAATCAAAATCAGCCCAGCCAGTCAAGAGAAGTCGTGAGTTCCGCGCGCGTGCGCGTGGATCAGCGAAGACATAAAAATTTACGTGGTAGGGCACGAACTCGAGATTGAATGGTTTCATTAGAAAATGTGTACTACATTCTGACCCAAGCAAAGCAGCAGACTTGAAAATCCTTTGCCCCTTTTAAAAACAATCTCGCCGCCCTTGCTGGTCTTGAGATAATCGAATGCGCGCAGGCGCTTTTTGAATCAACCCCCAGGCATGCATCAGCTGCCGCTGCATGCATGTTATTGCAGGCAGCTGCTTTACGCGCCCAAAAATTTCTGGTCTACATCAGAGCGCGCGCGCGAGGGTGAGCGGTTCACGACGACGCGCAGGCACGCGACCTGCCTGACCCGGGCGCGTGGCCGCCCCTGCACGCGTTTGCGCCGCAAAGGGATCAAGCCGGTGACCGGCAAAAGCTATAGGGCGCCAGCAGTCGAAAGTAACGAGTCAGTCAAATCACAATAATAAATAGCACCACCGAGATACACTCTCTGGTTCTGACTCAAATCTGTTGAGCTAGCAGCCATCAAGAGATTTATTCCTTTCATGAGCGCCTTCAAGCGACTGTCATTCAGCTTTCACTTGTCTGTCGATCAAGGCGTTTGGTCTGCGGGAATCTGGGGAGTGGCGGGGGCGCTGCCATCTACACACAGCAAGTTGAGTGCCTGATCGCCTTACAGCAGCTTCGCCTCGTAGTCGACGAATAACTTCACGAGAAATCGTGAAGGCCTTGTTCGCCAGTACCTGGTGTCGACATCAGTATTGCAGCGGCTCGACGACGACTTTTGCGACCAATTTGTGTTCCCCCGCATGGCTCCCAAAGAGGTGCGCAGAAGTGCATGCTACGGGTCGAGTTTGCGTGTGCAAAATACGGCGTTGTCGCCAGCAAGGGCTTTGAGATACATGATCGACGATGTCTCTCGCCTCGTGACCGCCTGGCCCACAACATCCCGTTCCAGGAACAAAGCGCAGAGCAAGGCGGTGTCAAGGAAAGAACGAAAGTCAAGCAGAGCTGCACACCGAAGCGTCTTGCTCCGCGAGGCCGACGTAGGGTTTCATATGCCCGCCATAAAAAATTGATGCCAGCCACTGAAACAGGCTGGCAACAGAGTGTAAGCGGGAGTCTGTTGAAGGTCTGAGCTTGTCCTTGCCGAGAGGGGGCCAATGAAAGTTCAGGAATCGTCAGCGCTGTCGCCACAGCGAGCTGGGATCACGCTCCGATTGTGTTGCTAGACCCTCGCCTGATCTGTTCCTGTGAAGCTCGAGCGAGAGTAAACGTTTCATTCGCAAGAAACATGCGGACGGACTAAGTGGCTCCAACACATCTACGCCATGGTCAGGATTTGAGCGCTGGCGTTATGACAGATCCCATTTAGGATGTCGAGCAGGTGGTGGTAGACCATCTACTGACGATTCGCGATTGTGGACCTCGTGCTTGTGGGCACAAAAGAATTCGCGCGCTCGTCAAGCAGTAGTTGTCTCGCTCACGCGGTGCCCTCAGCACACTCAGGACACCGAAACCACGTGCCACCCGGATCAGCAACGTGACTCGGGCGCGCCGCGCCGGTTCCGCTCCCGTCCGAGAGACGTGGGCTTGCAGGCGCTCAAGCTCATAAATCACGAATATGCGCAAGGTCCACTGCGGAAGCAGAATAGTCTCGAATATCAATCTTGAATGAAGTATAGTTGTGCATGGCTGCATGCTATGGGACCCTGAAGCCGCACCTCGTCAGGAACGGATCTGGCAGCAATCAGTGCAGGCATGGGGATCTGACGTGCCTCTCTCTGCTCAAGCCCTATAGAGGGCGGCCACATTCCATTTCGACTTGACATATGGCACAGCACCGATTCCCGTCGTTATTTCTCTCTGCTCCTCGCGCCTATAGCTTCGACGTCGTATTGCACAGTGCGGCACAAGCCTCCCCTCACTTGACGTTTGGGCGACCGCAATCAAGAGTAGGACAAGAAAGGCAAATCAAGAAGCCACACCTGACTTGGCGGCGGCGGCGTCGGTTATAGCTCCTTCGATTGCGGCTTGTCCCGCTCAGCGTGTTTTTGCTCTCAGCATGCGGAGCGACGCCCCAGGTCAACAAAAGACGCGTATCATCTCACATCTCGCGCCATATCCTTCGAGAGGGAAGGAGCTTCGGCGGGAGAGGCGGTTACCGCACCTGGGCAACACCTTTGCAAGCGGCAAGGGCTGGTCAGCGCGCGAGAACAAAGGGAAGGGAGGGACGCGGGATGTGGATGTTCATGCGCCGCGCTCGTACGCGTTGCGCCGCAATCCATTTGAGCCTGTGATTCAGATTTGATTCAATCGTCAGACGATGGACTGGCGCACTGCGCGGCGACTTGCCGCAACACAACCTATTCAGATTCTAGTAGTAGTACGATGCAGAGTGTAGCCGAAAGAGGAAGAGTGGGGCTGTGCGTTGAGGCTTCAAGCGATTGCGGTGCATTAGCTTACCAGCTCATCTGGAACCATTGCACCTCGACCACAATTCCCATGCACATGCACGAACGCGATTCCTTTGTTGTCGGGACCGGAACCTGTGCAGCCGACGCAGCAGGGTTGGCGCTAAGCTACTCTGTATTGGTGATTCTAGAAGGGCAGCGCAGCTTCCACGCACCATCTGCTAATCTTGAATCGTAGGAGCGCAGTCAGCAGCGCGACCAGTTACAAGTCACTGAGTTCGTATCGGCGAAGATGCGCGATTGAAGCGTCCAAGATTCGTGATGATCAAGTACAGGTTCAAGATTTGCCATGGGTACACTCTTGCTGACTACAACACTCGCAACTGTGACGTGCCTGCGTGCAGCATGCGCATATCTTAATTGTATGCTTCTCATCCATCGCGTATAGAAATTAAATACGGTAGACATACCACTGACCGGCACTTCGTCCCACGCAGCTGCCGACTAGGCACTCAAGACTTCGAGCTAGAACGCCGCCAAGTGAGACTTTCTGCACCGCGGTACATGTCCACCATGCACGCAGCACGCAAGCATGCTGGCCTCATCAGCTGCATGGACACAGCGATTCTTAATCCAAACCTGATCTCGGACACCTCACGTTGCGATAGAGAACGCGGTGCAACGTTGATTGCATGGGAGTAGATTTAGAAGTTGTCTATAGTTGAGTAGCTGTACTAATCACGAATGATAATGATACTGTAGTAGTAGTGGTCAGTGATATAGTCACGAGTAGGCTTCGCACAGGTGATGCTTTCGGGCCCATGGCTGAGATCGACTCGACTCGTTTGGGGACATTGCTGTCGTAGTCAAGTGTCGTGCCTGTTCAATCGATTCCCGCCGTACCAACAATTAATTACGAATGCTGCTCATTTGCATGATCGTCAAGCACGTCGCTCGCTCACAAGGAGCCATGAAGGCGACGTTTGCGGAGGCAAAGGGAGCGGTCGTGCCCCGCTGAGTCAGGAGTGGAGTCGCTCGCTCGATAACTGGGGCCTAGCTGCCTCCCGCAAAAGACCGGCAGAAGGGATGTCGTCCTTTGGAGGCTCGGACACTTGTGGCCGGTCACAGTGCAACTCGTCAAGCGGAGATTGGCACAGTCCATGTGCTACACGCACGCACGCAAGCGCGATGACCAACTTGCCGATGCGCTCCCGTTTCCTTTGTCGACGCAATCGCAGCGCATGGGGTACAAAAAGCCGAGGTTTTGCATACATGGTAAGCGAGGTCAGACCGACCGCAGTTCATCTTTGCCCTGTCCGCAGCCAGCACATCCGTGATTTCAGCTGCTTGGTCAGTCGATCTTCTTTGCGAGACATGCCGCCTAGCTGACTGGGGCAACGCGCTGCTGCTGCTCATCTCCCTCTTTCTCCCTCCGCGACTATCTTCCACGATTACTCCAGCAATCAAGAAGGTATGGCTTGGATGTGCATGCATACACGCAGGCTGAAGCCATCAAGCCGCTGATGCTTCATGCTGCTGCATATGGCATGGGATCGGGCCGGTCACTTCGATGAGGCGTTTTGATAGGTGTCAGCCCTTCTACGCGCCGCTCGCTAGCTGATGAAGGACAAGAGAGCGAAACCGTGGAAGGGGCAGATGAGCAGCAGGGATGTGTGAGCACCCTTGACGTCGTGCAGCTTGACGACTGAATGCGGCAGCTGCTGTCGCCTACTCGGGCTCCCGACTCTTCAGCGTCACCGTATCTGCTCAACAGGCTCATCAGGGATCATCAGCGCATGATACCCGCGCATTGCCCCTCCATCTGTTCATCATGTCGACTTCCTTTATGGTACACATCCCTCAGCCCCCTTCTCTGATCTGTGCGCTGCTGAATCTGTCTATTTTCAGCCCACTTTAAGCGCTGCCCCTCTCCCTCACCCTCCTTTTTACCTGGCTACCCACGTCACATGCAGCAGCGATCTCCCGGCGATCAAGCCACTCACACGTACTCCATGTCGGCTCTTGACGTCGATTGCCCGCCGCCTTCGGCCGCAAGCATGAGCCGTGATAGCAAGCAGGTGAGCTGTTTGTGGCTTGTCGTAGACGTTCCTCTCCTCTCGAACCATCGCAACGAGGTTCCTTCTTCCATCGTGCGGCTCGACAGTGTCTTGGCGCAGACATTGTGATCGGCAAAAGCGCCACGAAACGCGAACGCCGCGGAGAGCCATCACCTCGACTCTTGTCGACCGTATGAGCGGCGAGTCGCACATATAAGTAAGGACAAGGACCGTCTGCTTCCTCATCTGTCGTTCGCCATATATGGGTGCTTGTGTCGCAGTTTACTGGACAAAGCATCTTTCCCAAAACTCGACGAGGACTGAGGACGCGAGCGCCCTCCCCTTTCTCCGCTACCGTACACTGACATATAGATCTATCCACGACCCTCATTACTATCGCCTATAGCTAGCTGCTCTTCTCGACTCAGTCTCGGACTCTCTAATCGACTTCTCCGGCTCGATCACAAACGACACTTCCTCCGCGCTTTGTCCTTCCCCTATCACACTGAAACTAGAGCTGGTACGCCGCCCAGCCTCCAGCCAGTCCTTCAAACTCTTCGGCAGCACCGCAAGACCCCTGCGCAGGTCTGCGCGCACTCGCAGACAACCACCACAAGCCTCGACAAGCGTCGGAGAGTTGAGCAAGGCAGGCCCTCGCAAAATGTCAAATTACTTCTCGCACGCCACCTCGAGCTCCACGCCCAGCGGTAGCACACTAAGCTCTGCTCCGATATCCATTTCGCCAGCCCGATTAGGCCCCTCCAGCAGCCCTATTCACCGGACGCCCGCTGTCACTTCAACTCCTGTTCCCGACAAAGGGGCTTTTGAGCTACATCTCGAATCGACAGCCCAGCCAGCTTTTCGTAAGTGCACTTCTCCCAATCCTTGGCCGCGTCCAGACATTGGCTCACCACCGTCGAGCCGCCCATGCTCCTACTCGGTCATTAGGTGACGCACTGCCGAGTCAAGCCAGCTCGAGTAGCGCAGCCTCGCCGTCTCGATCTAGCTCTTCAACCACGCATGCAGCTGATTTGGACCTCAGCGCAAACACGCACGACAGTCAGCGTTGGGCAGGGCACAATTTGGACGGCAGCGCTGCTGGGAGCGATGTATTGTCGGGAAGCGTGTCTTCCAGCGATCTAGGCGAAGGCTCGTCTCGAGCTGCCGCCGAGGACCCTGCATCCCTTCCAGTCTCTATCAGCATCCCTAGATCGACAGCTCCTTCCCACGCTCGCAAGAAAGCTGCAGACCATGTTCCCAGGCCTAGAAACGCATTCATTCTATTCCGCAGTCATGCTCATCGACAAGGACTGGTGCCCAAGGAACTCAGTGCCAATCACTCGAACATCAGCGTCATCATCTCACACATGTGGAGAAGCCTGCCCACCGAGGAGAAGGAGATGTGGGCCAAGGAAGCGCAAAGGGAAAAGGATGAGCATGCGCTTTTGTACCCGGACTACAAGTTCAAGCCCGTGTACAGACGGGAGAATGTGGTCAGGCGGAGCGTTCGAAAGGAAGCGGATGAGGAAGAGAAGAACCTGCAAATTGCCGATCATATTCTCAAGTCACATGGACGCGACGGAGTTCAGCTTGGCGAAGAGCCCAACAGCAACATCATCGCTTCATCTGCAAGCGAGCGCAAGAGGGTCAGACGTGCCGAGTCTCGCGCCAAGTCGAGGAACAAGATAGCCGCAGCTGCAGCGAGCGCCTCTTCGAGTCTGGAGCAAGCGCATAGGAAGAGGGCCCTCAAAGTTGCCCGAAGGGCAGTGCGGGAAGTAAGCAAGAGTCCAGCTACTACTTCCTCTGCAGCTTCTCCCGCAGATTGGCACCGCGCCTCGCAACAACCGTGGGACAGCACTCAAGACTACGTTGCGCCCGCCCTGAGAACAGTGAGGAGATCTTCGTCTGTCCCTGCGCTCGCCGACAGCGTCAACTGGGCCAAGAGCACCTACACGCCAGCTTCCTTTCCAACCGACGGCCCTGCCGTCTATCCAGCAAGCGCACTTCCTCAGCACCTGAAGACTGGCTTCCATAGCTACCCTAGTCCCCCTCATCAACGATCTGCAACATATCATGAGCCAATGCATCTCAGCGCTCCATTGCACACACCCATGAGCGCTTACTCTACCGTCTCTGCATCCAGTGTTGGTCTCTCTTCTGGCCTCGCCGGTGTCCACGTCTCTCGATCACCGCAGATGCCGATCTCACCCATGACACAGGTGCATCCTATCTCTGCCTCCCATCACTCACCCACGTCTCCATTCAGATCGCAACGACCCGACTTGCCGCGCCCCTTCACCTCGGCAGGAATCGCCAGCACTGGCAGTAGTGCCGGTCTGACTGGCGCTCTAGATCTCAGTTCTCCCACTTGGTCCAACTTCAGGGACATGCTCGCGTCTCCGCACGCCGGCACAAGCTACGGCAACGCTCGCCGGCCGAGTGGAACAGGTTGGCAAAGCAGCGCTAGGCTTGCCAACGCGGACATTGGCCTACCAGTCATGAAGCCTCGAGGATCCATAGGGCAGGACACCAACAACTTGTCGACTGGCCCTCAGTCTTTGCGGCGCGAACGTATGCCTCCGAGATGGGACAGCACGCAGAAGACCACGGACATGGACGAGGTAGACGAGCTGGACAATTCCGACTTTGCAGCGGCTGCCAAAGCTGCTCAGCAGTCGCTCTACTACCAACAAGACTCTGACTTGGAACATCTTTTGCAAGGCGAATCAGGCGAATTGGGTCTGTCGCAACAGCATACAGACGGTCCGAGCGAGGCTGAACATTTTTTCAGCCAGCAGACTCTGTTCAGAGCTCCGTCGATGTCACACTCGCAAGCGCTCTCGAGCGCTAGCCAGAGCACGCGAGGCAGGGCTTTGGATTGGGCCGTCTACGGATCGAACTCACCAGACTATGGGCCAGACGACTTGACGCAAGTGTTGGGTGCAGATGCGGCATTTGTGGAGATGCTCATGGCTCCTCGAGCCAGCGCGGGCGCCGGGTCGCTGAGCATGGAGTCGGACAGCTCTCCTGCGCATTCGCAGCAATCTTTGGGCGCCCTTAGCAATCTGATTCGATCGTCCCAGACTTTGTCTTTGGCGCAATCCGCGGACGAGGAATCCGCACTTGTCCCAATGAGAAACGACCATGCTCTGCATTACCGCCATCGCCATCAGCATCAACAACACCTACATCGTGTTGCTACTCCCCTCGAGCTCGCGCTGGGCGATGCGCCGTGGCCTTCTTTCGAAAATCAAGATCACCATGTTCATCTCCATTCTCACCATCACGAAGCACAGCAACATCACCAAGAGTATCAGGATGCTCTGCGGTGAGGCTTCAGTCACTAGGCCGCACAGATTCGTAATGGCCGCCAAGCTCGCCACGTTATATCCTCATCCACACCACTTCGTCTTCTCGCCTCCTGACGTGCCGCATATCTTTTAATCTTGGCGCCTCGGCGCAGTTGTAGCTTTTGGTCGTTTTGTCACCAACTTTGCCCACGCTTGCTAGTACATTCTTGCTACATTGACACTGCCGACCAAATTTCATCCTCTAATTCCCGCGCATGCGAGTGTGAAAGTGTGAAGTCGACTCCATCTCGGTCAGCACACCCGATTTTGAGCACTTCGTGAGAGCGTGGGGCGCTGCGATTGGTGCATTGCGTGAGGTTTGTTGATACAAGGGCTAGGGCATTCGAATTGTTGGAGTACGTACGCCGCGATGCCGCGCTGTCTAGGGATCGAGAGATGGGAGAGTCCAGTGCGACCGTTCTGCCCAGCATACCGGCGCACACTCGGTCACGTATCGCAGAGAAGCAAGCGTCCATCGCACGAGCAAAGAAGAAGGGCACCTCGTCGTACAGATGATGCGCCGCCATTCCCCTGATCCCAACGATTGACGGTGCCACGCCGTCCTTCTGAATTCTCAGAGCTCCGTTGCTGCGTCGGCTCTGGCATTGTCCACCCTCGTCTCGCTCGCGATGTCCTGTTCAGCAGCGAGCTTCGTCTGACGTTGGCCAGCGTTACCAGGCATTCTTGCCAAACCCAACGACCTAGCTCTGAGGGCCAGCGATTGCGCATTGACCGAGGGGGAAGACCTTGCCAGAGCTCTCTGTTCCATGAATCCCAACTTGCCATGCACCGTCTTGAGCTCCTCCTTTGTCCTTGCCGCATCTTTCCGACTCCTGGAAGCGCTCTTGAAGTTGATCTTGCCGGATGGTATACCTGTATTGCCTTGAGAGGTCCAGATGGCCGTCACTCTAGCTCCCATCTCCTCCCTCAACCTCCTGCCAAAATCACCCAACAATGCATCCTTGGTGTTGGCAACATAAGCATCCAATCCTCCATACTTTTCAATCGTCCTCATAGCCTTGATAGAGATGCGAGTGGAGATGTGCCTCTGCAGCACTTCGCTCCACAAGTTGTTCTTGCTCTGAACATTGGGCAACCAGGTTCTGCGCGTCTTTTGACGCGAATTGGGAACGTTGTTGCCGGATTGGATCAGAGAGCCGTGGTACAGACCTCGTTGAGATCGTTTGAGGATACGACCGGCTTGTTGAGCTTCCACCTCTGTGGCGCGCGAGTGGGGAGAGGATCGAAAGGTGGTCTTGCCGCTCCGTCCCGGTCCGCTACCTCGCGAACCCTGATAGGTGGTGCGCGAAAATAGTCGAAGTGTGGGAATCATGACTTGCTCGGGTGCGAATTATACGATCGTTTGCGGCTGCGGTGCGCCGATCGATGAAGGACAGTCTCTATGCGGAAGGGGGGCAAAAGAGAGGTGCGAGGCTCGCGGTGTGGATGCGAGCGAGCGTATGCTGACACAGCAGCCGACCAGAAACGTAGGCTGGCTATGCTCTGTGAGGTCTATCGAGTGCGCCGAACTTGGCAAACTTCGCGTTGCTGAGATGCTGCTGAGGTGCAAGGATGCGAGACGACTATTTTGAGCGTCTGGAGTGGATTTGTTGTGAGGCTGTGAGCGGGCAATGAACTGTGCTGGGAGTTCTGGAATCTAGGAGCAAAGATGTGATGAAGTGCGTCTTTGACCTGAGAAGCTTGAATCATTCAAACTTCAACTCGCTCAGATCAACTACGTTTTTCCTTTTTGGCTTTTGAATGCTTGAACATGAAGTGTCTGCATTCAAACTGAATCAGATTCAAATGTGTTTCGAGTTCCCTGGCAAAGACAGTTCAAATTGCTTTCAATTTGTCACTTTGACTGGATCAGGTCACAAAAGTTGAATTCTGTTTTGGCCTTCGAATTCAACAAGAAGGGCATGCCAACCACGTGGATAAGCATGCGCGCATACCACAAGCCATCACCCGCGCGACGCTGCTGCCCGGCGCGCTCTGGCAGCCATGCATGCAACCATCATTTCGGCCAGCCTTCGTACCGGGATGGTGCACATACAGCTCAGGAAGGCGCCATTCACGGTTTACATTTCGATTCTCATCGATGGGCAGCACGAGCCTTGCAACCAGCAACTCACTAGCAGCATATCACCACCAACACCAACATCCAGCATCAATCCGAATCTTTAACATCCATCAGCGGGACTTGCTCTCCTTGCTCTCCTAGCATCGCGCATTGATTTGTCTGACGAGACAAAAGCTCCCTTTGAGCGACCTGTTGGCGGACCTTGAAGCTGTCTGATCTCCAAACGAATGGACTTGGCGCGACGAAGCCCATGAGTCAAGATGGATTTGGAACACGCAATGGACGGGATTGGCGACTACGATATGGCCTCTGGTTCGTCGAGCGGGACACCTTGGGGAGGTGTGGACGACAAGGATGGGATGGAGTTGGATCTGCTTCAGCCCGAAGAAGAGCTTCACGTTGCAGGTGCGGAGGAGATGGAGTACGAAACGAGTCCTGTGCAGATTTTATCTCGATCTCAACCTCGAGCACACGCAGGAGCAAATGCTGCGAATGAAGAAGCGCCATTGACCGTCTCCTTGGACGCCACCACTTCGATCATTGGCTCTGGGATTGCTAGCGCATCGATAGCTCCTACTTCCACACCCGGTATCCAAATGGGCGATGCGTTGTCAGCTCCAGTGCATACTCTTCCCGACACGACGTTCGTCCCAACGACGAGTGCCGCTTCTGCTTCTGATACCACTCAGACTACTCCTTCAGTCATCGACTCGACCAATGCTCAGACAATGACAGCATCGACTAGCGCGCACCAGCCAAACGGTCAAGCATCACCTTCTGGCCCCTCAGTTTCTTACAACCAGCAGGACGAATCAAGTATCGCTGCACCGCCTGGCGAAGCGCATGCAACAGCTGACGACGCGTCTAGCAATCCAGGTGCAACGGCGGGGGCCAAAGAAGGCGGAATCACGGGCTCAGCAGCCGAAGCTGCTCTGATCGAGAATGAGACAAACGAGCGGAACAGAGGAGCGCACAATGTCGAAGCGTCTGTGGCGGTGTTGGAAGGTGTGTCAGGGCACGTCGTGCCGCCCGATGCTCACAATGCTACGGAGGCGGCTGAGAAGGAGGAGGAGGAGGAGGAGGAGGAGGAGGAGGA